CTTGAGGTGCAGCTTCCCCCAAACCCCTGCACCTATCTCATCGACAGCTGGCAGGCTTCATGGCCTCAGCAGGGGCCATTACCCCTGCAGTTTTCAGCCCGTTGCGCATTAACACACACAGAGTCATCTATGTCATGAGTTTTGCCTGTCTGCAGCTTGAGATGCAGTTCCCCCCAAACCTCTGCACCAATCTTCTTGAAACTTGGTGGGCTTTGTGGCCTCACAAGGGGCCACCACTGCTGCAGTTTTCACCCCCCTGTGGTGCAACACGTAGACATGCCGTGAGTTTTGCTTTCAAGGATTTGGGGTGCAGTTCCGCCCAAATCCCTGCACTGATTCTCTTGAATCTTAGCAGGCTTCATGCTCCCAACAGAGGCTACCACCCCTGCAAGTTCCATCCAAATCAGACACAAAACAACAAAGTTATAGATATTTAACTGATTCCCAATTATACCCTATGGCCGGATCGCCGAGGTGGCTCTGAAGCTCTGGAGTTGCTTCAGCTGGATCGAAGCCAGAACCTGGTCCAGAGCTCTGGATCAGATCCCTGGCATCTGAAGTGGCCGGATCTGAAGCTGGATCAAATAGCTGCCTACTCGCAAAGGCCTAGTAAATATAAAGGTAGCACTAGAAGTAACATATCTTGGCTTCATACCTGTAGCTCTTTGCTGATCTTGAGTTAGGGGAAGACATAAGAAATTTACAATGCAGATGCTGCAGTCAACGATAACAAGCCTAAAGAAAGCCCTGCCAATGGGGAAGTAAGAGGACCAAGTGGCCTGCAGGAAGGAAACAACTATTCACAAGGCTGAGTTAGGTTTTGATTCACGTTGTTTTGAATGGACTCCCGTGCACCCAGTGGTTTGCCCTGTCCTTAAAAAGAAGGTATGCTTCAAAATCCAAAGCAACAAGATCATTTACTATCATTGACTCGCCATCACAGATTTCTCTGACAAAGTAGATTTTTGCCTATCAGAGTAGTAGCATCTGATGAAGTGGGTTGTTGCCTATGAAAACTCATGCTTCTCTGAATCTGTTGGTCTCTAAGATGCCATCTGTCAGATTTCTCTGGAGGAAGGCAGAATGTGGAACAGTTTATTTCTCAATAAACAAGTCTTTTTTAAGTCAAAAGAATAATACATGGTATTGATCCTATATAAACAGCAATTTCTTTAAAAGTTCTTACTGACAGGATTCAGGATAGTACGGTTGGAGTATTGTTGTAGCAATGATGGTCCAGGAAATGTTGAAAGGCAAACCTTTTTTGTGATATATTTTACTAAACCAATTGGATACTTGGAAGATCTGCTGGATGTCAGACATCAGATGCTCTCCTTAGGTCAGCTCAGGTACGCTTCCTCAGGAGACCTAAGGGCACCTGAAAGCTTGTCTAACAGCTCTCCCAACTATACAGTTGGTCCAATAAAAGATATCACAAACAAGCCTTGCCTCTCAAGGATTCAGAATGGAAATTGAAGTAATTTCTTTCCCAGGGAATGGAGCAGTTTAAGTTGTATCAAATAGTGGGCCTAAAATGCATGACAATGGGTGCATCTACACATGCATTAATGTGCTGTAGTTACTGAACATTTAGTTTAGTACCTATAATAACAGGTACTAAATGCACAGTAACTGCAGCTACTGCACAGTAGTGCCAGCACATATTTTTTTAGTGACACTAATGTGCAGTAGACTAATTGCATTAGCATGGCTTTTGCCATGACATGCTAATGCACAGTAGAATTAAGCTACTGTGCATTTAGTATCTCGTGTAGATGCACCCAGTGATTCTTAACCATCTAATACGCTTCTGGACCTTTTTAAGCAGTGCTGTCTAATGGCCTCATTTATCTTTAAAATATATTAAAAATCTTTTCTACATTTAATAAAAGAACCAAGGCATACCTGCTGATGTTTCTCTAAATTTGTCACTGGTCTTCTTCTTCCGCCATTTCCAAGGTTTAAAGATTTTACCAATGGTAGAGAGTTTGCCCTTTCTCTTGAAAGGAGGAGTTTGGGATCCAGGGGCTGGTCCATCAGAATTTGCAATTGAAGCCTTGTCTAACCCATCAACTGCATGAAGAAGAAAAATAAAACATTACTGAACCAAGAAGTCTTGGGAGAAACTCCATTCTACATCTAAATCTGCCCATTATCAGATTGTAAAGTGCTATGTGGGCAGATACTGTCTTCAGAATCCAGATTAGATTTCAGTGAATCCAATAGTCCCAAAGCAGTTGTCAGATCAGATCCCTTTGTTCCAAAACTGTTCAATATTTAGAAATGGTTAAAATATTTTCATCAAAAATATTTCAAATAAGAAAGGCCAACATTTTTTAAACCAGAATATGGCTGGGTATCATCCTGAGTTCTGGAAAATCCTGTCGCTTGTGAAAACATTACGGTGAAAAAAACTTGTAATGCAAAAAAAAAAAAAAGAATATTTTCTATCTTCAAAAATGTTCACAGAAAAGATAATGAGCTCAAAACCTAACTATTCTGGAATGGGTACACAGATACATGTCAAATAGATATCCTACACAATCAGTAATTGACAGGGGGTTCTACTAAGATACCTTATTAAGAGGATTTAACACTAATCTTTTGGGGGTTTATCAAAATTATGGCTGGCAAAAATATTTAATGTTTTTTGGTCAACAAATGATTAACTGATTTACTATTTACCATAAATCACCTTGATAATTAATTTTGTATGCTAGTTTAAGTACCATTACACAGCATATAATATAATTACAATGTACAAACATGAATTCCTCTAATTTTCACTATGAAGTCTACTATTATTTAATTATATTTCAATAAAGGCTTTTTTTTTTTAAAACAGAAGACAATAGGTGGCACATTCTAGTTCTGATCTTGTAAACACATAAATATATGCTTAACTGTAAGTAATGTGAGTAGTGTTATTGAGTCAATCAGACTAATTACATGTATAAAATTAAATGTATGCTTATATTTTTGGAGGATAAGGATTTTTATGATGACTTTGGTTGATTAGTATGTTTCAGTTATAACTGGTTAAGAACACATTTGAAGCCACTGTTGACAATAATCAATCTGCATATAAGAAAGTGTTTTACAAAGGAGGGAAAATAAAATTACTTCCATTCTATTGAGACTGAAACTGAGGCACAGAACAGCTAAATGAACCATGGCAGATGCAGGGAGGAAAGTACAGATTTCTTGAATCATGAGCCTGTGTCCCATCTACCGGCCCATAATGTCACTATGAACTCTAGCCCTCTGGAAATCAATTTTTCTTAGATGAGATTATATTTGTCTGAGACTTAAGTATTGATCTGAGATGTTTAAAAAATTCATTGCTGTGGGAGAGTTTGAAAACACTGATGTCAGCCAGTTTAAAGCCAAGAAATGTTATTCTCAATATTCTGTAACAAACAAGCAGTCAAATTGATCCCTAGTGTAACTCGAGTAAATTCTGTAGAGTTAAAACTAAGGAGCCAAATGCAGCATTTACTCAATAAACCTGAATAAGTTAGGCTGTTAAATGGCATAAGTCCTGCAGTGCCAGGAGGATGAAACAGATATCATAAGAGGATCTTTCCAGGTCTAATTGCAATTATTTAAATCCTCTAGATGGGTGACTTGGATACTCAACCTTTTAGTAATTACCTTGAAAAAACAGAAAGCTATAAAATAGAATGAAGCTGTAAGGAGGATGCTACCATTAGATTCAATAAAGATAATCAGTGGTACAGTAAAAGCTTCATTAACTGGCACTTTACAAGCCAGCATGTTCTATTGACCGGCATGCCAGCTTGTAATGTAAAGTGAAACCGGAAGTACCCGTGGCACTTCCGGTTTCTCTGAGCCCCAACAACCCGGGGCTAAGCAGCCTGCGCTGCCAAGCCCCCCACAGTCTGAGGCATAGCAGGCTGCATGAGGGCTGCCTCCCTGTCCCTCAGGGCCTGCAGAATCCATGGGAGGGGCGGCGATGCCGCGGGAAGGGCGGCAACGCCCCAGACATGGTGGGAGAAGTGGCAGCCCAAACAGGCAAAGATGCCTGTTTGGGACTCTCAGTTAACTGGAATATTTTGTTATCTGGTGCCCCCACATTCCCCATGGGTGCTGGATAACAAACTGTAACTGGCCTTTGCATAGGTTCAGAGGATAGCAAGACATAAGAAGTCTCCCCAGTTGCCCCTTCTGAGTGAGAAGCAGTCATGACTTTAGTCTATCACAAGGATGACTCTTGGAGAGTTAGATCCATCCTACTTGGCATTAATCAGCTGCCTCCCAGCAAATTCTGAGAAACCAGGGAGGAGCTGACAAATGAAAGAGCACTAGAAGGCTAGGGACAGAAGTTACACACAAACCAGTTTAAATGATCAGAAACTGGTTTAAATCTGTAACAAAATAAAGCTCAGTACACATAAACCAGTTTAAAAATGGCTGAAACTGGTTTATGGTAAACCTGGTTAAGTGTAGTCTCAGATTTAACTGATTTGGGTCAAACCAGTTTGTGAAACTTCTGTTGCAGACCCCTTCCTGGTTCAAGTAAAATCAGAGTTCCCCAGCATCCCAGCATGCTTTCCAGCCCTGGGCTGAGGTAGGCTGTGCTGGCTCCTTTAGCAGAGAAGGGTTCGAGGGGGCAGGGGGAAGGAGGCAGGGACTGCTCCCCCCCCCCCCCAGGCAAACCCTGGCTGAGGTCTGGGGTCAGGGAGGGGGGTTAAACCCCATCTTCCCCCAAGTACAGAGCTGCTTTGCCCTGCTAAACTTACTGAAAGTTACTGCTGGCTGCAACTGTGGACTACAAATCCCAGAGGCACCTGGAACCAGGAAGAGGAAGTGATGAGCAACTCTGCAGAATCCTGCTTTTCTGATTCTGGACTGCAAATCCTAGTGACCTTGGGGGCAGCAGGAAGAGGAAGCAAACACACAGCCCATGCTTGCTACATGCCAGAAAGCCATGCTCTAACACCCTGCAGGTTCTGGCTTGAGCCACTGCAGGCATGTGGCTGCATTTCCTGACTCAAAGGTAAATGTGTGTCCAGTTGTTTCTCAGTTTAATCTGCAGCTTAGACTAACCTACAAAGACGGAATTGATTCAGCCTCATGCTTTTTGACCGTCTGTACTTAGCAAAAAGCCTGCAAGTAACTTAGTCAACATTGAGGCCTGCAGGTAGCAGCAATTCTCCTTCATGAGTCCCTGGGCCAGGAGAAAAAGTATAATTGATGTCTGACTGAGGTGGAAAGCCTGCAGAATGCAATCCCTTATGGCAGGGGTGGGCTATTATTTTGACTGGAGGGCCACTTGATGAATTTTGGTAAGCTGTCGAGGGTGGCACACACAAAATCTTTCAGAAGATATCATTTTAACGAATTAAGGATAAAAAACCAAATTGTATACTAAAATCCACACATTTACTATACAGTGTGTTAATTTTATTTCAAAAACTAACTTTTGTCCTGATTTATGTTTTCTTGAGAAGTGTATATAGGGTTGATAGCAAAACAGTTCAAATTATAGTCAAATTTACACAATTTGTAACTTGTGTGGAAGGTGGGTGCAGGGTGTCTGTGTGCGCATGCATGTGGTGGGCTGCTTGTGCACTAGGTCCCAAAAGCTGGCTGGGCGTGGAGGGAGGAAGGGAGGGGGAAGGGGATGTGTGCAGCAAAGCTCACCTGGATGGTGCAGGTGCAGCTCCGGTCCATCCCCCATCTAGCCCACAGTTGCAGCAATCTGCATCGGGCTGAGCCCCACCTGCTCTCACCCAGGGAAGCCAGAGCTGCACTCCAACCAGGGTGGTGCTGTTGCCCCCGGCTCCAGCGGCTCCTCCTGCTCCTTCCCCTGCTGTGCCATTTCAGGCAGCAGGCAGCAATGGGAAGCAGAGGCAGTGGTCATGAGGACACACTGGCCAGCAGATGCCCAGCCAGGCAGGAAGGAGGATGCAGCTGGGTGGCTCCTGCCCCAGCACGTAGGACCCCAGCTCTAGCTCCAGCTCCCAGCCATCGTCCACCCACTTCCCTACCCAGAGGCTCATTGCACTGAGCAGGCAGGCTGGGAAGAAGGTAGCCAGAAGCTGGAGCTGGAACCCTGCATGCTACAGCAGGTGCCGCCCAGCTGTAGCTTCCCCCCCACCTGGAGTGGCGCAGCAGGCACAGGAGAAGGAGTCTGTGGAGGTGGAGGGAGCTGAGTAGTATCCAGGCAGTTGCAGCCATACTGGGAGCAGCCCTGTCAGGAAGCTGTGTGTGCTGGCTGAGGCTGGTGGATTTGAGAGGGAGCACAGTATGGGCTGCCCCAAATGAAAGCAAGTGGGGCTCAGCCCCATGTGGAGCACTGTGGGGGCAGCTGTGGGCCAGATAAAAATCAATTGGCAGGCTGGATCCAGCCCATGGGCTGTCATTTCCCCACCCCTGCTCCATGGAGTATACAGATCCCTGCAGGAGACCTCCAGTTTAGAGGGGAAAGGCATTACTGATGTGCTAAGCTCCTGTTTCAGTCTGGAGAAGTAGATGCAGAGTTCTGAAGAAATGGATCTAGTATTCTGCAGCTGGAGACTGTTCTCTGGACCAGGGGCCAGGGAGTTGGTTGCTGGCTTATGGGGTGCCTGAGTTCAACACAGTGCAGGGAGTGGATCATGGTCACTGGGCCCTCTTCCATATCATCACTGGCAACTATATCATATAATTCCTTTCATAAACTGATCAGGTCCCTAGTAAGTTTTTTGCACCTGTCATTCCTGCTGGAAGTACTGTGACTTCTAGAGCTCCCCATAGGGCTCTGAAATTTCTTCTTTCAGTTGGACTTCAGTGACAATATTTAGCTCTATATTAATGACATATAGATGGTGGTAAACCTGTGCGTAACTAAAAAAAAAAGTCTCTTCAGATAAGCATAGAATTTCTTAAGCAAAGCAGGGCATCACTTGAGTGGCACATATTTCTATTTAAAGAATAAGAAAAATTCAGCTCTGGAAAACAGGATTCAGAGCAAATCTTTCTGAAGATAAACAGAGAGGAAGTCCATTTAATAAACAGTTGCCTTTAGTTTTATTCCTTCATTTTGAATAGTGGCCCAGAAGAGACCT